GCCGGCGGGAGGCGGCAAACCCAGCCCAGCCCACACGGGTCACCAGGGGCCGCAGAAGCCGCTCCCGCGGCCCCTGGAAGTCTCGGAACGCAGCAGTGCTCACGGAAATAACTAATGTTTATTGAGCACTCACCATATTCTTAGCGCCGTGCTAAGTGGCTTTTCTGTGCTAATGGGGCCCCTATTTTTAGCTATCTACTGTACCAACCCTTGCTGGGCTCCGCAGCTGTATCCGCAGACCTTGGACCATGGAAGTGAAATTGCCCTTGGGAGCCCTCATTGCGGGGTCCAAAACCCTCCGTTCCCCCCGCCCTGTCCCGGGCCAGTAGGGGCTACTCAGAGCGGGGAGAGCCGACGGCCACGGCCAGACCCCTGCAGGAACAGAGCCCTGCCCGCCGCACAGAGGACAGGGTGGGACCGAGCCTGAACTCGGGGCCACTCTGAAGACCCTGCCCTGGGGCACAAGCCTGAGCAGGACGTGGCAGGCGGACAGCGCTCGTAGGAAGAGGGGACACCGGGTGTGCGTCTGGTCTAAGGGCCAGGGTGGAGGCGTGGCGGCCACGTGGTGTAAGGGGCAGGGTGGAGGCGTGGTGGCCACGTGGTCTCAGGGCCCGGTGGAGGCGTGGCATCCACATGGTCTAAGGGGCAGGGCGGAGGCGTGGCGGCCACGTGGTCTAAGGGCCAGGGTGGAGGCGTGGCGGCCACGTGGTCTAAGGGGCAGGGCGGAGGCGTGGCGGCCACGTGGTCTCAGGGCCGGTGGAGGCGTGGTGGCTGCGTGCTGCGGCGTGGGGTGTCACCCAGTGGCCCTGCACCGCGGGAGCTGCCGACAGGGGAGCGCGCGGGGCTGTGCCTTTCCTCCGTGTCCTGCCTTCCCACCGTCAGAGGCTCATTAGTGCTCCTGGGGGAGCAGCGGCCGCTCAGCAGGCGCTGAGCGGCTGGAGAAGGGGGGAGTGGAGCTTCCTTTGAAGGTGCAGTCACCGACCTGTGAAAGAACAGCACGGGGGAACCTCCTGGGTCTGCTGAGCTCCAAGAAGGGCCATGTCGGCGTCACCTCCAGCCGTGCTGGCCCGGGCACCTGGGCGGTGGCACAGGCCGGGTGGTCTGCTCACCCCCCCAGGCCCGACCTGGGGGCAGAAACCCACCAGCCCCGCTTCATGGGGCCTGAGTCGGCCTCTGAGCGCCTGGAGCAGGGCAACACGCTCAAGCTTGCGTCAGGTCCACACGCTAAGGGCTCGGCTGAGCAGCAGTTGAGGTGGCTTTTGGCACAGGCGGGGGCAGCCGGGCAGCCGCCTCGCGGGTCTGCAGAGGGGAGGAAGGAGTGGACACAGGGGTCGCCAGCCCTTACGCCTCAGGCAGGGAAGGGCCCGAGGGAGCTGCCAGCCCTCGCCTGGCCCTGGCCACCCACCGGGCACCCAAGGGACCAGGGCCCAGCGGCCCAGGGGAACTTCCCTCCCGGAGGCTTGGTGCACCCTCCCCGCCAGCCTGTTTTCACCCAGAGGCCTTACAGCCGGGCTGGCACAATGCTTGGCCGGGCAGGGCGGGGGCCACATTCCCAGCTGGGCCTGGGTGTCGGGGGACCCGTCCTCCCTGCCAGCCCTTCCCACCTGCCCAGTGTCCCTCCCAGGACAGGCTGCCCCACACCTTGTGCTGGGGCCCAGGAGCTGACTACTGGGTGGTCATCAGGGCCGAATCCCTGCAAGGGGACTGAGCCCTGAGCCTGAGTTCAAATCCCAGCGCCAGCCGCCCGTCCGGCCTTCAGAGACAGCGGTGGGACTTGCTCCCCACCCAGGGCTCCCACAAGTAGCAGGCGGCAGGCAGGAGCCTCGCAGGAAGCCGGAGACACCATCTCCAGCAGCGAAAGGACAGAGGACTCGTCCACGTGGACGACCCCTGCCCGACAATGCTCTCCCGAGCACTGCCCTCAGAGTCCTGCAGAGGAAGAGGAAGAACCAATCAGATCACGCTCTCCCCGCCCCTTCCAGCATGGGTACCAGGAAGAGCCCATCAAATCACAGTCTCCGCCCCTTCCGGTACCGGGGAGAGCCAATCAGATCACGCCCTCCCCCCTTTTCTTTAAATTATTTTTTACTTTATAAGGTAGCACTGTAGCACTGTGTTGTTCATCGATTTGCTCGGGCGGGCACCAGTAAGAGACTTGTTACTGTTTTTGGCATATCGAAAATGCCACAGGGAGCTTGCCAGGCTCTGCCGTGCGGGCGGGATACTCTCAATAGCTTGCCGGGCTCTCCAAGAGGGATGGCGGAATCGAACCCGGGTCAGCCACGTGCAAGGCAAATGCCCTACCGCTGTGCTATCGCTCCAGCCCTTTGAAAATATTGTCACTGTCACTGTCTTCCCATTGTTCATCGATTTGCTCGAGCGGGCCCAGTAACGTCTCCATTGGAGACTTTGTTGTTACTGTGTCTGGCATATCGAATACTCTCGGTAGCTTGCCGGGCTCTCCGAGAGGGGCTGAGGAATCGAACTCGGGTCGGCCATGTTGGCTGCGTGCAAGGCAAACGCCCTACCGCTGTGCTATTGCTCCAGCAATATCAGAAAATATCAGATATGAAAATTACTTGAACTAGGGGGCCGGAGCAATAGCACAGCGGATAGGGCATTTGCCTTGCACGTGGCAGACCTGGGTTCAATCCCCGGCATCCCATATGGTTCCCCAAGCACAGCCAGGAGTAATTCCTGAGTGCAAAGCCAGGAGTAACCCCTGAGCATTGCTGGGTGTGACCCAAACAGCGAAGAAAAAAAAAAAAGAAAGAAAAAGAAAATTACTTGAACTAGAAAACTGGATTTGAGGGCACCAGAGCAAAGGCAGAGCAGGCAAGGTCTTGCCTTGCACGCAGCTGACCCTCTTGAATCTTCAAACGCCGTCAGGTAGTTCACAATATTTGATGACATTTAAGATGCAAACGCCAATCCCGCCACCTAACAGCTTCCCACTGCAGGATTTCAGATGTTTCCATCCCCACCCCCAACCTCCGTCCGGAAGCAGAACTGAAATAATGTATCTTGTATTGTTGGTTATGAAAAACCGCTGAAGTTGCTACAAAAATGTATTCCTAGAGGGAAGGGTGTGAAGGTTGTTCTCTCCCGACAGGGGCCATTACGACCTTCTATAGGAGATCGCTAGGGTGTTGTTCAAGGTCGAACCTTGTGTGCTTTGTATATAAATCTGTAAAAACGTATTTCCCTCTAAGGTCGGTTCCCTCTTGCTGCGAGTCCCAGCAATTGCGGCCGGTGCTCCTGGGGTACCGGGGTACAGGCAGGGTGTGTCCCATGCAGTGTCGGGAACACGTCCACTCGTGGGTGAGGCCTGCCCGAGCATGTGGAGGGCGGCTGTGAGCCTGTCTGTACCCCCCCCCCGTGTGGCCCCCCAGCGTGGCCAGGCCAGGCACGTGGCAGCCCCCGCGGCCGGGACAAAGGCCTCTCTGCGGTGGGGTTCCGGCAGTGGGTGGGCTGGGCAGCGGGGGTCCTCTCGGCCGGAGGCGCTGTCCCCTGGCCTTGTTTGTTCCGGACTGTTCCTGCTCGTGGGTGTTCACGCGGCGGGACGCGGCTGAGGCTGACACGCAAACAAAGACAAGTGAAGCTGTTTCTTTGCAAGCAGGGCTGAACACTTTTCAAAGTCTCTTGGATGAATCGAAAAATAAATAAATAAGCCCCAGTGTTCTTAGGGGCAGGGGAGGCAGAAATCAGGGATTTGTGGAAAAACACCCCAGATTCTGCACTGCCTGTGGCCCAGGCATGTCCTGCGGTTCCCAGGATGTCACGAGGCCATGAACCGCACCAGGGCTGGGGCCGAGCCGCCTCTCCCCTCCGTGCTGGTTCTTCGGAGGCGCCCACACGGCTGCTGCCTTGCCCGAACGGGTCTGGGGGCCTCGTGGTGGGACTCCAGGGCCTGCGGGGCGCGGGTGAGAGCAGGTGGGATGGAGGCAGGGTGGGGTCCACGTGGCCGGCCGGAGGGGACAGGCGGGAACGTGGCTGAGGCAGGCAGGCCCAGGGCCCTGGGCTCAGCTCAGGGGGGTGGGCATGCGGCAGGCAGGCCAGGCCTGGGGTCTGAGGCCCAGAGCCGCTAGTTCCCGGTGCCCAGCTGCAGCGCGGGTTCCAGGCCGGGGGCGGCTCAGGCTGGCGTCTGCGGGCCCAGAGCGCCGTGACAGGCAGGTGCCCGTCAAGAGTGCTGCAGTGCTCCCCGGGAGCCCATCTTTAATGCATGACTGTCTCGGGAAGGGGTGAGGACAGGCGCTGCCGCCCACTTGCCGGGAGCTGGGCCGGGGCCAAGGAGAGCCACAGCCGGGCGCCAAGGGCGGCTGCCAGGCGGGGGCCGGGACCGAGGGCAGGGCGTGTCGCGCCCCCATCCCGGGCTGCAAGGACAAAGCCCCTCGCCCACACAGTCAGCAGGCGGCAGGAGCCAGCCGGGCACGGGGAGCCTGACCGAGCCCCGCACACACCCCCCCTCCCGGCACCTCGTTAGCCCGGCCGGGACCTGGGCCAGGAGGAGGGGAGGCAGCTGCCCGAGGCGCCTCCCAGGAAGAGAGCTGGGCTGGGGCCTCACAGGCCGGGGGACGGCACCCGGGCAGCAGGGCCCCCCAGCCCCACGCCCCGCCCACTCTGTTGCAGAACAAGCAGCTGCCTTGTCCCAGGGACACTCACAGAGGGACCCCCCCCAGCGCCCACTCCAGGCCCTTCAGCGTCCAGTGGGCAGAGACCCTCAGGGGCTTTCTGGGCCCCGACCCACTGCCCGAGAGCCCCCTCGCCCCAGACGCCACCCTGGGGCCTGGCTCTGAGCTCCCGGGGGACATGGGGCTGCAGGACGGGGCTCACACCTTCCTCGGGGGACCGGAGTGCCCACGGGCAGGGGTCGCCGCCCGCCCCTTTGCAACAAGCCCAGGCGGCACTGGGGGGCAGCGGGGTGGGGGCAGGGGCCGGGCGGGCACGGGGCGGGGCCAGGCCACGGTGCCGGCGGCCGTCCCAGCGCCCCCTCCCCGCAGTCTGCTCGCAGTTCTCCAAGGGCGTGTACGCCATCTTCGGCTTCTACGAGCGCCGCACGGTGAACATGCTGACGTCCTTCTGCGGGGCCCTGCACGTGTGCTTCATCACGCCCAGCTTCCCCGTGGACACGTCCAACCAGTTTGTGCTGCAGCTGCGCCCGGAGCTGCACGGGGCCCTCATCAGCACCCTGGACCACTACAAGTGGCAGAAGTTCGTCTACATCTACGACGCCGACCGAGGTGAGCGGGAACGCGCCCCCGCGGCCCCTTCCCGGGCCGACTTCCCGGGGTCCCCCTCTCCACACGCCACGCCCCCCGCACCCCGGCCCCTCGGCCCCAACGCATCCCCAGGTCCTGCCGTCCGGGGCAAGTGGCCTGGGGAGGGGGCGGTTATCATCCAGAAGGACACGCGCTGCCCGTGCCCGACCCACCGTCGTCCCCTCGCAACGTCCCCACCACACCTGCCGCCACTGTCACTGGTGCCGTGACCCACACCAGCCGCATCCACTGAACACCGTCCGCGGACGCCCTTGGATGTCCCATCTCCTCCGCCCAGACTTCCTGCTATTTCCTCGCCCACTTTTATCCCCGCCGCTCCCCACAGCCCCGACCTCGCGCTCACACACTTTCCCCACTCAAACCCTCAGCCGGAGCCCTCCCGCCTGTCCTGCTTTTGCTGAGCAGGACGTGGCATTCCACGGCTGGAGACTTTAGGAAGGACCTCCCAGTCCCCTGCGGCGCGAGGGGCCACCTCCGCAGTGCGGGATGCAGTGCCCTCCAGGCATCTGCCCCGCAGAGTTCCTCCAGACCCTCATCAGTGGTCGCAGGCCCCTCAGACGGGCACGGCAGGGAAACCTCAGACTTCTCCTCGTGTCTTGGAGTGTTAGCTCTCTGCTCTTCTGCTTTGGGGGCTGCCCCCCCCACACTCACACACAGTGCTCCTGGCTTGCTCCTGGCTCTATACTCAGGGATTATGCTTGGCAGGACTTGCAGTCGTATGGGGGGCCGGGGATTAAACACACAGACCCTCGGTCAGCCAGATGCAAGGCGAGCACCCTAACCACTGCACCATCCCTCTGGCCCCCAAGAGGCCTCGTCTGAAGAACTTCCTGGCAGTGGCATCGCTGTCCTGTGTGGATCCCCCTTCCCATCAGAGCAAAGCCCCTGAGGACTCTGTGGGGAGGATGTAGACAAGTAGGGGCCGGCACCCTGCGGGACCAGGCGGCAGGAGCCTCGCGGAGCCTCCGGGAAGCGCCACAGCAGGGCCTGGGCACAGGAGTCTCAGGCACCCTGGGCAGGAGCCAAGGGACCACGGTCCAGGACCCTCCTTTGAGCACACCCCGACAGATGGCGCCAGACCCGTGGGTCCGGTACACCCGCTGTGGCCACCCCGACCCTGGGTGCCTGGTCAGCGCAAGTCCCGTGACCAGGACAGAAATGACCCGGACGCAAATTCAGAGCCGAGCGGCCAATGCCGGGGTCAACAGGACGTGCCCCCGCCCCGACGTCCATGGCCTGTCCTGAAGCCTGTAGCAAGGTCGGCCAAGGGTACAGGCCAGCAGGTGCCCGTCACATGAGGCCTACCTGAACATCCAGGAGAGGAAAGCATACCCAAGAGCAGGGCACCCAGTGACCCTCATCCCTCCGACCTCCCCGCCAGCACCCCAAGCCCGGGCCCCGCAGCTGGTCACAACCAGGACAGACGCCTCTGCCTGAAGCCGCCGTGGGCAGGCAGTGTCCCCAACCACACGGAGGAATCGCCCCACGCCCTGCTCAGCGAGTCACAGGAGATGGACTCCACCCGTGGGGGTGTCAGGGCTGGATGCCACCCGATGCCGGACCTCAAGGTCACCCATGCCCACTGGCGCAGACAGCGGACATTCCTACAGCCCCACGCCCACCCCCTAGTCCCATCCCAGCCTCGGGGGGCACTGCAGAGTGACACATCGTCTGCAGGGGGGCGGGGGTCCAGCCAGGTCGGGGTGGGGGGCCAGGCTGGAGCATGACTGGCCCGGTCAGCTCCTGATACCTGCTCCAGGTCGGGGGCAGGCCCCACGCGGGGCTGGGGGAACCCTTGGGAGGAGGCACGCGGGCCGGGGGCCATGAGGTCCAGCCGGTCACGCTCTGTCCCACTCACCCCGTCCAGGCCTCTCCGTCCTGCAGAAGGTCCTGGACACGGCCGCCGAGAAGAACTGGCAGGTGACGGCCGTGAACGTCCTGACGACCACGGAGGAGGGCTACCGGACGCTCTTCCAGGACCTGGAGAAGAAGAAGGAGCGGCTGGTGGTGGTCGACTGCGAGTCCGAGCGCCTCAGTGCCATCCTGGGCCAGGTAGGGGCAGGGAGGGGCGGGCAACAGGGCGGGGTGAGGAGAGGGAGCTGGGCAGGGGCTGGGGGACACCGGGAGGGTGGGCCGAGGGCCGGGTAGGAGCCAGGGGGGCTCTGGGCTCATTCTCACGGGCCAAGGGGCCTTCCTCGTCAGCAGTGCCCGGTGTGCACCTGCCTTGTCGTCTGCTCAACTGACCCCAAGACTGTCACCTGGGGCACAGCTAGGACTGTCCCCAGCGCCCGCTGGGCTCGTGTCAGGCTGGTGGGATGGCAGGAGAGCACCGGGCGGGTGCCGGGCAGAGCCACGCGGCTTCTGGACCGCCGGCCACAGGCCCTTCACCTGGCCAGCCAGCCGGCCCCTCCGGCCTGAGGGTAACGCATCCGCAGAGCCCGCTGGCACCTGGGTGTTTGCCCGTGGCCAGACTGTGCTGTTGCGGGAAGGCGTCTGGTGAGAGGCTGAGTGTCGGGGAGGACGGCTGAGAGCCCCAAGCTGCCCCCCGGGCCTCACTGTGCGGGCAGCCGTGTGCGCCTGCATTTAATCATTTCCTACCTCGGAAAATCGGCGGCACTATGCACATACATCCCATTAAGTGGGTGTCGGAGTGTGGGTTTTAATAACCTGGACCGTTTATTCAGTCAGGGGAGCGGCCCGGAGCTCCTCTGTCTCACGACTCCAGCATGCCCGCCTCACCCCAATTTGTTGATTAAAAAAAAAAAGATAGATCACATCTAGTTTCAGGCTGAGCCTGAGCAGTGAGGCCCCGGGCTGACGTGGCCCCTGGCGAGTCTCTGGCCGCTATTTCTGCAAACGTCTTCCTGCCTGCGATGATTAGGGGCAGGCTCTGAGCTCCCAGCCGTCCTTAATCAGCGTCTGAACACTCGACTAGTTCAAGAAGCTGCGGGGTTCAGGGGAGGAAGAGCCGTTCCTGAGCACGGATCCGGGGCCCAGAATGAGGGCAGAACCAGATGTCCTCTCCGTCCATCTGTCCCCCGCCCACCGTCACCATGCAACCAGACATCCACCGCCATCTAATTCTACCCCCACGCCCCCTCCCCAGCTGCAGAGTCGTCCACACGACTGGCCAGCAGCTGCAGGGAGGCTTGTTCCGCCAGGACCAGGTCCCGCCCTGGGACAACTCCTCAGCCCCACCCAAGGGTCACAATAACTGACCCCGGGGTCCCTGCTCCTGCTGGGCCCTTACAGTGACAGCACCTGCTCTGGGCTAGGCACTGAGGACCCCGTGGAGACCAGCTTCTGGGCAACAGCTGGGCCGGGGCCGGGCCGACTGACCGTCCCCACCTGCTGTCTTGCAGATCGTGAAGATGGAGAAGAACGGTATCGGCTACCACTACATCCTCGCCAACCTGGTGAGTGGGCCTGCAGGGCGGGCGGCCAGACCCCCCCCCCGGGCCCACCTCCCTGGCCAGTCTGCCCCGGGCTGCGCTGGTGGGCTCTGGGCCCTGAGTGGACACGGACACTTGCTTTGTTCTCTCTGGGGCTGCCCTGGGGTGCTCAGGCTGGCCCTGCAGTCAGGCGTCACCCTCGGGACACACCTGAGTCTGCCGTGTGACCACCTGCCGTGCTCGGGCCACGGTTCCCATCCGCTCCTCATGTCCAGCAAAGTCTCAGTGCTCAACTAGAGGCGGGCAAGCTGTGGTTTGGTGACTTCTGATCAATTTTTTCTTTTCTTTTTGGGTCCCACCCGGCGATGCTCAGGGGTTCCTCCTGGCTCTGCACTCAGGAATTACTCCTGGCAGTGCTCGGGGGACCCTATGGGATGCTGGGGATCGAACCGGGGTCGGCCACGTGCAAGGCAAACGCCCTCCCCGCTGAGCTATCGCTCCAGCCCCATCTGACGAATCTTTAACCGGAGCTTTCCGGCACCAGCAGAGCCCCGTCAGTTCCCCTCTCTGTGTTGGCTGTGTGCAGGGATCTTGCCTCTGAAAACTCCCCACGGTTAATGCACCGGGCGCTCCTTCCCCTGCCTGAGACAATTGCCAAGAACCTGCCCAGGGCCACTGCCCCCGCGTCCCCGGCTGCCCAGGGTCTCTGCCCAGGCGCTGTCTCCGCACCCCCCGGCTTCTCACGTTACTTCTCGCGGAGTTTCCAGGCCGCCCTCCATGCCCCTTACCCTGATGCTGGACTTCCCAGCCGTGTTGCCATCCAAAGCCGACAGAAACCTACTATCACTCTCGGTGCGCGTTTGAGGGCTGTGTTGGCCGTGTGGCACCGCAGGGTTCTGGGCTCCCCATGGGGCGCATTCGAGGGTGACACGGCAGCAAGAAGCCTGCAGCCCTGCGTCCCGAGTCACATGGCTGGCTGCAGTGCTCACGGGGTGTTGGGTGCTCGCTGGACACAGTGCTGATGGGGTTTCAGGTGCTCCCTGTACACAGTGTTCATGGGATGTCGAGTGCTCCCTGCACACAGTGCTCATGGGGTTTGGGGTGCTCCCTGCACACAGTGCTCATGGGGTGTTGGGTGCTCCTTGCACACAGTGCTCTAGCCCCTTCCTCAGCTCAGGAACACAGACAGCAAGGCAGCTGGGAGCCATGAGGGGGCACCTGGCGTCCGGCTCATGGCCTTGTGCTTTCGCCGCAAACCCTCCCACCCCTCCCCGCCCTCCCCACCCTCCGCTGTCTGGCTCAGGGTGGAGTTTCTGAAGCTCTTTGCCGCCCCTGGGTGGGGCCCTGGGTGAAGCCTGGAGCGGGCACCTCCTCCCACCTGCTGGGACGGTGGGGGTCACGCGCCATGGGGCTGGGCCCGTGCAGACAGCGGTGATGTCCAGGGCGTCGGGGGCAGGCGTGGGCATGCCCAGAGCACAGCACTTCCTGCTTCCCAGACCAGCTGGTGATTGGCCTCAGTTTCCGGTTCCGCCCAAGCCCTCTGCTGACCCCTCGCCCGCCCCGTTACGGTGATCGTCATCCAGACATCCCACCATGTGGTTAGCCGAGCATGGCGGGGACCCCCGCCCCTCCGGCATGTGTGTGGCCAGGTGTGCGGAGACTCAGAGCCCCCGGAAGGCTCTGGAAGGTTCTAGAGGGGGGGAAACGCGCCTCTGTCTTTGCATGAGGCGAGGGCAGAGCACCAGGTGGTGAGGAGACTCGAGCCGGAGAATAAACAGGCGCGAGGGCACTACCCACCCGCCTCTCTTCGGGGGTCATGAGGGGCCAAAGGTGACCTAGGGAACCCAGCCTGCGACGGGGCATCTCGCCCGGCAACGGGGGCCGGAAAGAACCACTCGGGCGGGAAGCAGGAAGGTCCCCAACAGCAGGAGGAAGGTCCCCAGCACCGCCCGGAGGTTTCGGCTCATTTTTAATAAAAATCATCCCACTAATTAACCGTGGTTGCGTGAGTGTGCTCAGGCAGGGCGCATGGCTGCTGGCCAGGGGGGCTGGCCCTTCACACGGGAGACGGCTGGGGAGACCGCCACTGGCCCCACCCCAGAGGGGCCGAGGGACACGGGAGCTGGCGTGGCCAGCTGCCCCTCTGTCCTCAGGGACACTCTGCTGCCTCAGACCCAGGACGCCCTTGGAGACAGTCGGCACCGCCCCCCCAGTCTCCACATGTGACCCCCGTGTCCTCGGGCGTGTCGGGAAGGGGAGAGGTGAGGGACCTGGCATCCTCCACGCCGACGGCTGTGATCAGCGGCTCAGGGCCAGCCGGGCCCAGAGCCCTCCCACGAGAGCATCGCGCTCTGTGATTCAGAGCCGCCGCTGACCGGCCGGCCCTGCTCGCTCTGTGCCTGGGGAGGGCAGCTCTTACTAAGCCCTCTCCCGCCCGCTGGCAGCCACACGCCCCAGGCACTGGGTCCAGGACGTGGTAGGGCACCAACCGAGGTCCCGTGCTGGCCGGGGTCGGGGGCATGCAGGGAGCACTGCAGGTCATGGGGGCCAGGACCCTCGGGGTGGGGCACTCAGCCCCGGGGAACGCACGCGGCGGGTGACCCGAGCACTGACCGCTACCCCTCTTGCCCAGGGCTTCATGGACATGGACCTGAGCAGGTTCAAGGAAAGTGGGGCCAACGTGACGGGCTTCCAGCTGGTCAACTACACGGACACGGTGCCTGCCCGCATCATGCAGCAATGGAAGAGCAGTGATGCCCGCGACCACACGCGTGTGGACTGGAAGAGGCCCAAGGTGAGGGGGGCTGCGGCAGCCCTCGGAACGAGCCGAGGGGCTGTGTCTGTGAAGGTGGGGGGCCGCCGCCCCAGGACCCCACAGTCCCCGCACACCCGGGGCCTCAGCCTGGCTCTGCTGCTCTCCACTGCTGGCAGCTGCCTCGTGGCCCAGGATGGCTGCAGGGTGCCAGCCCTCGCCTCACAACTCTGCCCAGAGGGAAGGCGGAAAGGCAGCAGGAGCTGACAGAGGCCCCACCCGGGTGGCCCCGACCACAGCTGCAGGGTTTCAGGAAGACAGCGTGCGGTCAGGGGGCGAGCCTGCTCCCACTAGGCCCGCGGGTGGTGCGACTGTCTCTCATGCTGGCCTGGGCTCCACACCTGCTCCCTCCAGCGCCCGTCTGCCCCGCCCAGCCACCAGCTGGGCAGGGCCAGGGTCCACCTGCTGCCACCCGGGCCTGCACAGTGGCCCGTCTTCCCCTGGCAGGCCAGGCGGCAGGGCTGTGTGCGGCCGAGGACGTGCTCAGGCTGGGTCTGTCCATGAGGTGCTGGTGATGCCCACAGACTCTGGGGGGGACATTGCAGCAGGGATGGCGGCAGCGTCCAGACGGGGGGGGGGGGCAGGGAGGGGGCTGCGAGTGGGTGAGGGGGTGTGAGTGTGAGTGCCAGTGTGTGAGTGTGTGTGTGAATGTGAGTGTGAGTGAGTGTGTGACTACGTGTGTCTGTGTGTGAGTGCAAGTGTGTGACTGCACGTGTGTGACTCCATGTGTGAGTGCAAGTGAGTGTGGTTTTGCGTGTGAGTGTGTGAGTATGTGTATGAATGTGTGTCTGTGCATGTGTGTGATTGTGTGTGTGAGTGCAAGTGTGTGAGTGTGTGTGTGTATCTCTGTGTGTGGATGTGTGGATGTCTGTGTCTGTGTGTGTGGTCATTATTCTTAACGTCTCCAGACCCCTGGAGACTGGGTGGTCCTCGCCTGACTAGAGCAAGTCTGCGTGCTGAGTCAGCGGCCTGGCCGTGTCGCCCCGCCCCCCCCCCCACTCTGCCGGCTAAGGACGACTTGGCCTGTGGCCAACAGCCGGCCACCTGCTCGGCAGGGAGAGCAAGTCGAACCCAGGAACTCATGCAGATCCTGCTTCCCGACTCAGTCGGGAAACTGAGAACGGCCCAGCCTGGGGGGGAGGGGCGGGAGGCGGGGCTGTTCAGACAGGCGGGAGGGAGCGGCAGGGCAGCCCCGAGAGGGTCCGAGCAGCTCTGCCCGGGCTCCGCAGAGCCGCCCGCCCGCCCCTCACGCCCAGGTCCGCTCTGCAGTATACGTCCGCGCTGACCTACGACGGGGTGAAGGTGATGGCCGAGGCCTTCCAGAGCCTGCGCCGGCAGCGGATAGACATCTCCCGGAGGGGCAACGCAGGGGACTGCCTGGCCAACCCCGCCGTGCCCTGGGGCCAGGGCATCGACATCCAGAGGGCACTGCAGCAGGTAGGGGGAGGGGCGGCAGCGGGTGGGGGGAGGGGGAGGGTGGCAGGGGGAGGGGTCCTGCAGGGGTGAGCCCCGGTGGGGGGGGGCCCTGCAGAGAGTAACTGAGGCCGCCCCTGTGGCTCACCGGGAAGGCTCAGCCGCACAGCCACAGGGCAGCCACGTCTCAGACTCAGGGGTGGGGACCCCTCGGGGCCAGGTGCTGCACAGCCCCAGGGCCTGTCCCACCACAGTGGGTGTGGCCGCACACACCCACTTCACCTGCACTTCTGAGCGCTTAGAGAGCAGGGCAAGAGAGGGCTGCACCCCAAGGGCCCTGCGTGACGGGCCAGAACACTGGAGGGGGAGTCCTGTCTGTCAGCCCTGGGAGCACGCGCCCGCCTGTGTCTCTGCTCCCATCTCAGAAGGTTCTGGACCTTCCCTGCTCTCCCAGGCGTGCATCAGTCTTTGCACGTGGCTAGGAGCACCCGTGTCTGAGCAGAGGCAGGGAGAGCTCCCTGCCAAGCGCCGCCTGTGCTCCCAGGGTCTACCCAGCCCCCAGGGCTGTGGCCCGAGGCGCTCAGTGCCCGACTCCCCTGCAGGTGCGGTTCGAGGGGCTGACGGGGAACGTGCAGTTCAATGAGAAGGGCCGGCGCACCAACTACACCCTGCATGTCATCGAGATGCGGCACGACGGGGTCCGGAAGGTGGGAAACGGGCGGTGGGGGGAGGACGGGGGGGGAGGGTGGCAGGGGGCCCACCAGTGTGCGTCCCATGTCTCTGCACAAGGACAGGCGGATGCCAGAGCTGCTTCCCCAGCATGGCCTCGGCGGCCACCTCATGCCCTCATCCCTGCGGGGGCCGTCCCCAGGCTGCACCCCTACTTCCGGGACCTGAGTCTCCCGGCTGTCCACTGGGCGTGGCAGAGGCGGGTACTCGGACACCAGCTGGGATCTGCCTGCAGCAGAGGACCCTGGGGGCGAGTGTCACAGCCCCGAGAGGGAACTGGCCCCCCGGGGCCTTATCTCAGACGCACATTTGGGGCCGGGACAGGAGCAAACCGGTCGGTCTCCACCTGAGCCCTCCCTGGGCACCGGGGCTCGGGCATATCCCTGAGCTACCCTGGGCTCAGCTGGGTCCTCTCCAGGGGGCGGGTGAGCCCCATGGGCCCCCGCAGGGTCACCGTCAGAACCAAAGGAAGCAGATCTGCCCACGGCGGGAACGTGGCGCCTGGCATGTGACTGGCACCACCGTCAGCCTATCAGGTGGTGCCTCGGTTGTTTGGCTGGTGAGTGGGCTGGCGGGTCGGCCCGTTATCTGGCTGGCTGATTGGTTAGACGGGCAGATGGACAGGTGGATGACCTGTTGTTTTTGCTTTGTTTTTGTTTGGGGGCCACACCCAGCGATGCTCAGGGGTTACTCCTGGCTCTGTACTCAGGAGTCACTCCTGGTGGTGCTCGGGGGACCATATTAGATGCCGGGGATCGAACCTGGGTCAGCCATGTGCAGGGCAAATGCCCTTCCTGCTGTGCTATCGTTCCAGCCTCTGGATGGTGAATGGTTGGCTGACTGGATGCTAGGTTGGCTGGATAGATGATTGCTTGGCTAGATGGATGTGTGGGTGGGTGGGTGGTTGCTTGGATGGTGAATTGGTTGGATGATTGGTTGGTTAGATAGTTGGATGGTTTGATGGTTGGTTGGTTGGATGCTTAGTTGGTTGGTTGCTTGGTGGTTGCTTGGATGGTTGGTTGACTGGATGGTTGGTTAGTTGGTTGGATGGTTGGTTGGTTGGATGGCTAGTTAGTTGGTCGGTTGATTGGACGGTTGGTTGGTTGGTTGGTTGGTTGGATGGTTAGTTGTTTGCTTGGATGGCTGGCTGGGTAATTGGTTGACTGGAGAGTTGACTGGTGCTTGGTTGGTTGGACAGTCCGCTAATAGCCAGCTGTTGGGCTGACAGGGCATTTAGTTGTGTTCCCTTGGTAGTTCGCCTGCTTTAAACTCCCTTCTCAGGCCGCAGGAATTTTTAACCTCAGCACTGGTTCAGTGAGTCAGGCTGTGGCAGCCCGTGGAAAAGATAAATCACAAACAGAAATAACGTGGTGACCTTAAAATCCACGAGCAGCGCGCTGCCTTTTCAGACCATTTTTCAGGCTTCCTCTCGGTGACTAAATCCTTCCTCAGGAGTGGGCTTAGCGCCTCTGTTTACAGGAATCCGGCTTTCAGAAAATCAATCCCGCACGTCTGTGGCTGCAGGGCTTACTCCATCCGCCTCCGGCGAGGCCAAGCAGGGTGGGCGTGGGGGGGCTCCCCGGCACGAGGGCCAGGGGGAGGGGCCCAAGGACCCCTCAGCCCACACCACCCCTTGAGGATGCTCTCGGCCGGCTCCTGCCTCCCACGGACCCAGCGCAGGGCGACGTGACTCTGCCGTGGCCATCGGGCCCCAGTGCTCACCCCCGCCCCATGCAGGCCGTGCTGCCATCTCTGTCCCTCACCTCACCACCCCTCGCCCCTTGCCTGTACCCCCAGGCCGGGTCTCTGCCGAGGCTGAGACAGCCCGCCCCCTCCCCCCAGGCCCCGGTAGGCCTCCCCACCGCATGCTGTGTCCGGCCATGCTTCTTTCCTCCCCTCTGTGGCTTATTACCGATGACAGGGCCGCCGCTCAGGCCAGGCCGTCTCTGGCCGAGGTGTCGCCCGCTCAGACGGCAGCAGTCCCAGGAGGGTCTGTGTGGCGTGAGGACAGGGCGGGACCCTGCTGTGGGCAGAGGCGTCAGGACCGGCCGCCTGCAACCTCCAGTGTCCGGCTGCCCGGGCTCACGGGGCTGGCAGCTCCGCGTGGCTCCCCGGACGATGCTGACGACCCCATAGAGAGCCAGCGAGCACGTGGCTGCCACCCAGGCCTGCTCGAGCTGTGTCCTCATGCCGCCCACAGCCTTCAGGGGTGGCCCCCGCAGTCGTCTGACACGTTCTGTGAGCACACTGAACCACACTCGCGTGGAGTTCGGGCCACGCGCCTGGGCAGTCGGTACGGCGGGAGGTGCAGCTCCCCCAGACATGGGCAGGCAGGCGGGGTCTGGGTGGACACAGCGCCAGGAGATGGGGCATCAGGGGAAACCCCCACAGGGGCTGGGGCCCGTCTACACCACATTCCCCACATAGGGGCTGAGGCTCGTCTACACTGCATTCGTCTCTGGCCCTCCACATTGGCCTGTCCCTGCAGCTCTCCCAGAGGGTGGCGACTGCCCGTCTGACAGCCCTGAGGCCTCGCAACCCCCCTGTCTCCAGCCCAACAGCCCTGCCCCCAGCTGCTGGCTCACCCGTGTCCTGCCTCCGGGCGTGTCCTTCCACACGCAGGGCCAGGGAGATGACCAGCTGGTGTCCAGCCTGGCCACCTGTCCCCGTGAGCAGGACCCTATGAGATCCTGGGCTGAGACACGTGTGCCTGGACAGCTCCACCCTCGTAAGAGAGCTCAGTGGCCAGGCAGCCTGCGTGGGCACCCATTAAACCCACACGAGAGGATCGGGTCGATTAAATGCACACCGAGAGAGGACCCGGGTAGTTGGACCTGCCCCACGACGGCCCGGCGGGAGCCCAGAGGCCCAGGCCAGAGCAGCCACCACTGAGGCAGCCAAGAGTGGAGGCGAGGCTGAGACCACAGGCCCAGGCTGGCAAGGCAGCTCGGGCTGGGGTGGCCCTGGTCCCTCACAGACCCACTGTCCCTGCCAGCGGCCCCACTGGCTGCAACTGGAGACCCACAGTACCACTGAGGTCCAGGAAGCAAGGGGACAAATCACCACCGACGCGCAGGCTCCCGCCATGGCAGAGAGGGCGCCCAAGGAGGGAAGGACAGTGGCCAGGGCTCAGCCTGGGGGGGTCTCCAGGCCGCTTCACCTCACCCCTGCAATGCCACTGGCACCCGGACAGCATGTGACCATGTGGCTTCCACGGCAATGTCCCTTAGCCACAGCCCAGCCTGGCGTCCATGCAGGCCTCTCCCCAGCTGACCCGTCCTCTCTGCACCTCGCCCACAGATCGGCTACTGGAACGAGGACGACAAGTTCGTCCCTGCAGCCACCGATGCCCAGGCCGGCGGGGACAACTCGAGCGTCCAGAACAGGACGTACATCGTGACCACCATCCTAGTGAGTGCCAGCACACACACACACATTCATACACACACGTACACACACATGCGCGCACACACACATACATACACACACACGTGCACACACACGCACACACATACATACACATGCGCGTGCACACACAGACACGCGCACACATGCACACACAGACATACACAGACACGCACACATGTACACACACGCACACACAGAACACACACACACGCATGTGCACACATGTACATACACATATGCACACACACGGACACATGCACACACATGTGTACACACATATGCACACGTATGTACACATTCGCACACTCGCACTCTATGCACACCCCCCACAGAGACACACGTGCACACACGCACACACATGCACACTCACGTATGCACCTGCACATGCACGCACATACACACACACACCCCGGTCCACAGCATGACCACCATCCTAGTGCGTGCGAGCACCCCTCGCCCTACAGACGCGGTCCCGTTTCCGTGCTGCCCTCGCGGTTTCCCTGTGTACGGGAGAAACACCACTTCCCTTGGGGACCCCCGGCCCCCAGGTGCAAACACGGGCTGAGTGTCTGCAGAGCCGCTGCCCTGTCCACCCTCCCCAGAGGCTCCAGACCATGCCTGAGGGGCAGCTACTGACTCCAGGGCTCCAGCAGAACAGTCTAGAACAGCAAGGCCTTGAGGGAGCCCCGAGCCCACCCGTGAGGAGACGTGCCAGCTCCTGCCCCCACAGCCCCGGCTGCCCTCACTGCGGGGGCCCCGTGTGGCCGGGAGCAGGACGGGGCGCCGGTGACCCCGCTGGGGTGCCCCACTCTGCCCCCTCCCCGCAGGAGGACCCTTACGTCATGCTCAAGAAGAACGCCAACCAGTTCGAGGGCAACGACCGCTACGAGGGCTACTGCGTGGAGCTGGCGGCCGAGATCGCCAAGCACGTGGGCTACTCCTACCGGCTGGAGATCGTCAGCGACGGCAAGTACGGCGCCCGCGACCCGGACACCAAGGCCTGGAACGGCATGGTGGGCGAGCTGGTGTACGGGGTGAGTGGGGCAGGGGCTGGTGTAGGGGTGAGTGGGGCATGGTGGGCGAGCTGGTGTACGGGGTGAGTGGGGCAGGGGCTGGTGTAGGGGTGAGTGGGGCAGGGTGGGCGAGCTGGTGTAGGGGTGAGTGGGGCAGGGTGGGCGAGCTGGTGTAGGGGTGAGTGGGGCAGGGGCTGGTGTAGGGGTGAGTGGGGCAGGGGGAGCAGGTGTAGGGGTGAGTGGGGCAGGGGCTGGTGTAGGGGTGAGTGGGGCAGGGGCTGGTGTAGGGGTGAGTGGGGCAGGGTTTTGTGGTGGGGTGAGTGGGGCAGGGGGAGCAGGTGGAGGGGTGAGTGGAGCAGGGGCTGGTGTAGGGGTGAGGGGGGCATGGTGGGCGAGTTGGTGTAGGGGTGAGTGGGGCAGGGGCTGGTGTAGGGGTGAGTGGGGCAGGGGGAGCAGGTGTAGGGGTGAGTGGAGCAGGGGCTGGTGTAGGGGTGAGTGGGGCATGGTGGGCGAGTTGGTGTATGGAATGAGTGGGGCAGGGGTTTGAGGTGGGGTGAGTGGGGCAGGGGGAGCAGGTGTAGGGGTGAGTGGAGCAGGGGCTGGTGTACGGGGTGAGTGGGGCAGGGGCTGGTGTAGGGGTGAGTGGGGCAGGGTGGGCGAGCTGGTGTAGGGGTGAGTGGGGCAGGGGCTGGTGTAGGGGTGAGTGGGGCAGGGGGAGCAGGTGTAGGGGTGAGTGGGGCAGGGGCTGGTGTAGGGGTGAGTGGGGCATGGTGGGCGAGTTGGTGTATGGAATGAGTGGGGCAGGGGTTTGAGGTGGGGTGAGTGGGGCAGGGGGAGCAGGTGTAGGGGTGAGTGGAGCAGGGGCTGGTGTAGGGGTGAGTGGGGCGGGGGGCTGGGTGGGTGGGTGGCTGCAGGGTGTTGGACAAGGGCAGATGCAGGGGAAGCCGTGCGGGTTCAGGTCATGGTGCAGGCACCGCCTCTACCGTCCACCCTCCCACCTGCCCCCTGCCCGCTGTGACTCCCGGCAGGGCCAAGCCAGCACTGGGGCCTTGTTTTCTGGGGCAGGATGTGGGGACACCTGCCCCCACCGCGCACCGGCCACTGCAGCCTCACACGGGCTTGAGAGGCCTGGACGGGCGCAGGGGTGAGGGGCCCCCGCGGGCCCAGTGCCCGGCTCCCGGCCCGGGGGCCACAGAGGAGCAGCCGAGCATGCTGGGGGGGCCACAAAGCGGGGTGGGGGGCGGCGGGAGCCTCTGGCAGCTGAGCGGGGCAGGACGGAGGCGGCTGCTGTGTGGAGGCGGTTGCCATGGCAACTCCACTCAGGTCGTCCCCATGGCAACTGCCATGAACTTTCCACCTCCGTGGGCTCCTCCCGTCCCCCGAGCACGGGGCTGGGTAAGAGTAGGCCGCCCCCATGGGCAGTGGGGCCTGGGGCAGGGGTGGGGCAGGGGCACCCCACGCCCTCCCCTCAGCACCCGGGTCGGGGAGAGATTGGGGCAGAGCTGGGTCCAGCCCCGGCACCAAATGGCCCTTTGGAAGGAGCTGGACGTGCTGAGCACCCCCAGGCCCCTCGGGACGCGCACGCTAAGCCCCCCCGCCCCCGCCACCTCAAGGCCTCTCGGCCCTCCCTCCAGAGAGAACCTTCTGGAAGGGAAGAAGCAAGTGCTTGTGGGCTGGACTCACTGCCCTCTCCCTCAGGTCCCTGGAATCCCCCATCCTGGGCCCCAGTCAGAGTGGCCAGGCTGAGCCAGGATGGGAGAAAACGCGGTGTCCTGCCCGCCCGCAGAGCTCAGAGCCGCGGGGCTCCAGGGGGACTGACCAACCCCAGGTCCAGCTTCCCTGGGAGACTGGCCCAACTGCAGCTTGGGCACTCGGGCTTGGGCACACACCCCCGCCTGTCCCTGAGCCTCCTGGGTGCGGGTCTGAGGCTAGTGAGTTGGAAACGGGCTGGCACGGAGCAAGGCCCCGAGGCAGGTGCCAGGCTCCTTCCAGGGATGGCGGGTCCATGGCCCCTCGGGGCTTTCTCCCCCCAGCCCACCCCAGGCACATCCTGGGTGCCACCCAGCCCACTGCCACGCCCAGTGCCAGCCACAGAGCCACCCGCCCCCGCCAGGATTCACCACCACCCCCAGCCTGCCCCCAGCACCGTCCTAGGGAAACACACGAGAGCCCACGAGGAAGCGTTGTGGGGGCCGAGGCCTCTGCCCTGCACGTGTCCAGCCCGAGTCCCCGCCCTGACAGCCCGGGGGTCCCTCCGCCCGGCCGGCCACGACCTCAGACTCTCCCCCAAAGAGGAAGCGTGTGCTCCTGCCCCCGGGCGCCCACCGGGACCCGGGGCCCGGAACCTCTGGAGAGCTGCGCTGACCCGTGTCTCTGGCCGCAGAGGGCGGACGTGGCGGTGGCCCCGCTGACCATCACGCTGGTGCGCGAGGAGGTGATCGACTTCTCCAAGCCCTTCATGAGCTTGGGCATCTCCATCATGATCAAGAAGCCGCAGAAGTCCAAGCCCGGCGTCTTCTCCTTCCTGGACCCGCTGGCCTACGAGATCTGGATGTGCATCGTCTTCGCCTACATCGGCGTGAGCGTGGTCCTCTTCCTGGTCAGCCGCTTCAGCCCCTACGAGTGGCACAACGAGGAGCTGGAGGAGGGCCGGGAGCCCGCGGCCGGCGACCAGTCCAACGAGTTCGGGATCTTCAACAGCCTGTGGTTCTCGCTGGGCGCCTTCATGCAGCAGGGCTGCGACATCTCCCCCAGGTCAGCGCGGGCGCCGGGCGGCGTGGGGGGCGCGGCCAGCGTGGGCCTGGCTCCTGGGGGCTGGGGGCACCGCGGAGCCCCCACTCCAGCCCAGCCCCCCGACCTCAAGAGCACAGAGCCGTTTCTCAGCCCGGGGGAACCCGGCCCCAGGCTGCCGGGTGGGAGGTGGCCACGGCCCCGGGGCTGAGCTGTGGGCACGCGCGTCCCTCCAGGGGAACGGTCTCCTCTCAGCAGCCGCCCTGCCGTTTGGGGTCCTGCCCTCGGTGCCAGGCCGAGTCGGGCACCGCCTGCCTCTCCCTCCTGGGCCTGGCCCCTTGCCCAGTCCCCAGGCCACGCCTGCAGGGTGGCCGGAAGTGGCGGGTCGTGGGTCAAGGTGCCCGGCAGCCGCTTCCTGGAGGTGTCAGGGGGTCAGGCAGGGGGCAAGCAGGCTTGTTTCTGGGGCCCTGGGGGTGGAGCCACGGTGGATGCCACAGTCTCCGGGCCCCGGGGGACACACAGAGGGCCGGGGGCTGGCGTGGACCCACGTCCCCCAGAGCCCGGGAGCAGCTGCCTCCTGCCACCCCCCCATGCCTTGTTCTTCTTTCTCTGTGGGAGACAGACACGGGTGGGCGTGGGGAGCGGGTGTGAGACGGGCGGGGCTGCTGGCTGGCACTGCGGGAGAGAAGGGAGCAGGGGCGGGGCGGGCGGGGGTGCGAGCGACAGACACACCCGGGGCAGCGATCCGGGACACACAGGCAGGGCCCGGCCTGCAGACCCGCATTCCAGGCAGACTGGCCTCTGCTCTACGTCCGGGGTGTCCCCAGGAAACAGCTGTGCTAAGGCCCCGGGGCCCGTGGTTTTGGGGAAGGGCTGGGCGCTGCGGCTGGGCTGGGTTCCCTGGGAGGACGCAGAGGAAGGAGACAGCCAGGTGGGGACAGGACGGTCCCAGCTCAGGCCGCTGTCCCATGCTCCCACCTGTGTGGCCTCTTTCCTGCATGGACGCTTCTGGGGGTTGGGGTCAGGGCCCACGGGTGCACTACAGTGCAAATGACAAAGCTCAGGGCATGAGCCAGCTCAGGCAGGGTGGTGCGGCCCAGTGAGCGGGGCCTGGTGGGCCCTGGGGAGAGTCCGGCCTCGAAAACCGTCTCTGGAGAGCGGCGAGCGTGCAGTGTCGGGGGGCTGGCGGGAGCTCACCTGGCTGGAGGCCCCCACGCTTGCTGCACGGCGACTCGCTCTGAAATTAGCGGCATTGCAGGGAGCCCTCATGAGGGTGGCTGGATGATGCTGCAGGTGCCCAGGAGCCGTGAGAGGAACGAGGGTGGGGGGGGTCTCGCACGGGTGCAAGGCCAGGAGCAGGGAGGGGTGTGCTGGTGGTGGGCAGTGGACATGGGGGGCTCTCGGCAAGGCAGAGGCAGCTGGCCCCTGCCTGAGCCCCGGGTGGCCGAGAGTCGCCAGCGTCTGGCCCGGGCACTTGAGCAGGGGCCAGTGGGCAGCACATCCGTGTCTGTGTGGGCCCTGGGACCCCGGTCTGAGTGAGTGCAGGGCAGGGGCCACTCGCAGCATGACACAGACCCTGCCTCGCCCCACCCCCCCGGCAGTGAGGGCGCAGGGTGGCCGCAGGGCCCTGTCCAGGCTCTCACTGACCACCGGCAGCGGCTCCACCTCTCGGCCTGCCCCAGAGCCGAGAGCTGACCTCAAACTGCCCGTCGGCACGTGGGTGGGCCCACGGCACAGAGCCCACCAGGGTCACCCTGCAGACATGGCCGTCTGGGGCCCAGATACAAGGGTAGGAGGCAGGGGCCAGGGTGGCCCTCATGCAGGGGCCAAAGAGGGTGGCGAGAATGAGCGGACAGGCTGGCACCCCACCCAGCAGGATGCCGTGGGTGGTAGCCAGGGGCCGTAGTCTGGGAAAGACCCTTGCCCTGCCCCACACGACACACACAGGTGGCCTGGGGACATGGGGAAGAGAGAGATGGCCTGAGGTCGCTGGGCACTCGCAGGACCCGGTCAGTGGGAGACACGGGCCTGTCCAGCCCTCTGGCCACTCTCCACCCCGCCTCCACCCTGGCCTCCACCCCGACCTCCTGAGCGCCAGCCACAGACGGGCCCGTCCTGCTGCAGCCCACGCTGCCTTGCTTCACCTCTACACTTTGCATCCACGCTTCATGTCCAGCTTCACGTCCAGCTCTGCGTCCAGTTCGTGTCCCCTGCAGATGTGGCTTCTCCTCGGCCAGCATCCCTGGGTTAGGAACCGTGGCAACTCCACCAGAACCCTGAAGCAGGTCGTTCCAGCCCAGACCCTTGCTCCCCGCGGAGGGTTCGTCCGTCCACTGCCCGTCTGCCTGGAGCCTTTCGTGCTCCGGCCTTGGCTGGTGCTTGCCGGATGCCCCCTGCTGACCCTTCACAGCAGGAGGCAGCGTTGCAGCTGTCTGCCACCAAAATCCTGCACCCTGAGGTCTCATGAGGCCTGAAGGATCCCGATCGTGGAACCAATGGAGGCAGGAGCCCCAAGTGCCGCCCACCCTGTGGCCCTGGGAAGGCTGTGCTGGGCCCGGTCCACACCTCACTGCACAGCCCCGGCCAGCGAAGGTAAGGACCAAGCTCGTGCCCAGGAGGGGGCCGGACGGGGCCTCGGGAGGACGAGTGGACGGCCGAGTGTCTCCCTAGCCCCAGCCTTCCATCCCAAGTCTCCGTCAGCACCTCTGATGTCCACTCTGGGGCAGGAGCGGGAGCTGGAGCATGGCAGGTACACGGGCAGAGTGGACACCTGCTCCCACCACCCAGGGAAGAGGGATTGAGAGCGAGCGCCCGGGAGACAGCTCAGGGGGCCCGGGCCCGGGGCAGCTGGCAACCACGCAGGGATGGAGTAAGTCGAGGCCAGCTGTCCCCAGAGAGAGAGAGAGGGCGGACACCAGAAGCGGGTCCCTGCCCAGGCTGCCCTGGACAACAGCAGCTGGATGCTGGGTGCTTCCCCCGAGAGCCACTGGACACTGCATCTCGAGTCCCCTGGGAGCCGCTGGACGCTGGGTCCTTGGTACCCAGCCACACTCATGCAGGGCACAGCACAGACGGCCACACCAGCCTCGGATCGGGGACAGCGCGGTCAGAGAGACGGGAGCTTGCCCCATCCGCCCAGTAGCCACGACGGCTGAACGACAGACGGACAGAGACTCAAAGAAGCCAGATGCAGGCCAGCTCCTGACAGCGGCCCCCACGTGGGCAGAACTTGCCTGAGAAAAAAAATTAGGCTATTCAGTGGCAAAAATAATGTCACAGAGTGCTGGCCGCTTGGACGCTGCCTGGCGGCCGGCCGCCCCTCCACTCAACCCCGTGAGCTGCAGGGGCGTGGGCCGCCCCCGCCAGCCTTCTCTGACGCGGCGTCCACTCTCCCGGCGCTGAGACCCACGCCATCACGCTGTGGCTCCTTGCCGTGCCTCCCCACCCCCCAGTCACCCATAAATAAATCCAGGAGTGCCACTTTCTTTGAGACAAACATCTGCGTCCTCCCCGCGTGCGGCCACTATAAATAGCGCTTCCATAGATAGTCCCGGGGGCTCCGGCAAGCGCGCAGGTTCCCGTTGGCCGTCTCTCTGGGCGCGGGATTCCCAGGCCCGTTACGTACAATTTCCTGTGGCAGATCTTGCCAAACTGTTTTCGGAAGCAGCTGGAAGACGTCGCTCCTGCTGGCACGGCCGCCACCGGCCCGGCGAGCCGCCCGGGCGTCTGTCCACCTCCCCGGGAGCGGCCCGCAGGTCTCGTCCCACCTCTGCTTCTGTGCTCCCGAGTGGGGCCGTCTCGCCGGGAGTCGGTCAGGGGACGCCTGGTTTTCTCGCGGCCGTCCTGTCGGGAAGGTGCTGTCCTGTGCGGCCACCCTGTGCCCTGCGCGCAGAGAGGAGCGGTGGAGGGGCGGGGACGGTGGCCGTGGGGACAGGCTGGTCGGCATCTCTTCCCTCGCACGTGCTGTCCCAGGAGCCCTCAGGAGCCCCGGCCTGGGCTCTCGGCCGCTCGGGGCTGTTCGTGCTACCCGCCCTGGTGCCCACGGATGCCCGAGCCCTGGACGGGCGTGCTCAGAGGTGCTGACACAGACGTGGACGCCCGCGGGCCAGTCAGGGCCTCTACCGCACACAGACACTCGTGATGCAGGCCCAGCCGCGGGGGTGGTTCTCCCGGATGGCGTTCCTCCCCTCCCCCTCCCCCCGCTAAGGTGGAGCAAATCAACCTCTGAGACTCTGAGTTTCCTGGCCAGTGTCTCAGGACACCTCAGGGAATCGCAGCACAGGCTGTGCAGCCTCCGCAGTGGCCAGAGGAGAGGCGGGAGGCTGCTTCCTCCCCGAGCTGGTCTGGAGGGAGCGGGGCCGCGGGCGGGGGCAGAGGCAGCGACGCGGAGGGCGTTGTTGTGCATTCCGAACACGCTGGCTGTTGTTGACGCTTCGACTGACTCGATGTGTGAGGAAAGCCACGGCAGGCCTGGCGCGCAGAGGGAGGGGGGTCGGGGGGGCCTGTGGGCCCCTTCAGGTGGCGTGTTGGGCCCGTCGCCTGCAAGGGTTCTGCTGAGTAACGGCCGCGCGGGGGGCGTGGAACACGGGTATGGACTGCGTCGTGAATCACCCCGCTCCCGCCTGCCCGGGACGGGAGTAAAAATAGCTCTGGGAAAAGCAAACTCACCCGCAGCCCCGGGCTCCGAGCACACGCTCTGCCGTGCAAAGCTGTGTTCTCCTTCACCCTGTGAATGTTCTGTGCCTGTTGATCTCAGCCACGGCGGCTGTGAGGAGGGTGAACAGCATTCTCTCTCTCTGGCTGCAAAACACAGCCCCCGCACTCCACGGATCAGGACTGCACCGGCAGAAATCGAACAAGCCCATCGTTGGCTGGCAACGCTGAAACCCTGAAACTCGGCTGGGCGCTTCTGTAATCAGAGCCGGCGCATCGGGGAGCCAGGGAGGTGGCGGCGGCCCGGCAGCGGGCCCAGGGCAGGCTGGAGAGGGGCAGCCCTCCAGCGGGACCCCGGGCTCTGGCAAACC